CGACATACATAAGTAAGAGAATATGTCATGATTGCTGCACAATATGTTATGATTTATCATTGATTAATATTCGGCATAAATTGACGATTCAACGTTTAGTCAGTTGATATTTTGCCAGCTATTTTCTACAAACCAGGTCTCTTGCTTGAATTGATAGAATTAAGTATTCTAGCATATAAAATCCATTTCTTTACTTTTTCTACTTTCAAAGAACAGTCAGTGTCCAGCAAATTATGACACACATTTGTATTTTTATTCATTGCTCATTGTTAATAAAGCTTGTTAGTTTATTAGTCATTATTTTAATGAAGGGTCACAAATCTTCTCAAACGGACACAATGGGGTTATCGCTAGATTTATAGATGAATTACAAGCAACGTTTTCCTAATTCATCTTACATGCCACAAACTGATTAAGCAGAACCAGTCAGGACTGATTTATTGCCAATACATACCAGCACTGCCATAGTGAATTGCAGAAATTGCCTAAAACAACCATGAAAATGATACACAAAGTCTCACAAACACGCAGAAGAATCACCTCATTAGGTGTCAATTTTTTTTTTGCCAATTTGTAGCAAATCAGACCATGATCCACTGTGCGCTCGAAATATCGTCATGATATAAAATATGCATCGTTGCTGTCGTTTTGTATCTATTTCAGACCACAGACATACTGGTTAAACTACTTACAGTCCCTGCTCTACTGCTCAGAGAACAACCAGCTGGGCTCGTTCTCCGAGGAGATGCACGCCTGCATTTGCGTGTTTGACCAGGCCACCTGTCAGCAGATCACACCGTGCTCCATAGGGGATGGCGGGGCCTGTGCATCCTGCGCCACAGACAACCGCTCCCGTTGTGGTAGCTGCAACTCTGGCTATGTACTGAGCCAGGGCATCTGCAAGCCCATGGTGGCAGACTCCACCGAAAACTACCTGGGCTTTGAGACGGATCTGCAGGACCTTGAACTGAGGTACCTCCTGCAGCGAGCTGACAGGAGACTTGAGGTGCACGCCATCTTCATCAGCAACGACCTGCGCCTCAACAGCTGGTTCGACCCTTCATGGAGGAAACGAATGCTCCTCACCCTGAAGAGCAACAAGTACAAGTCCAACCTTGTGCACATGTTGCTTGGGATTTCCATACAGATCTGCCTGACTAAGAATAGCACATTGGAACCTGTATTGACCCTCTACATTAACCCTTTTGGTGGCAGTCACTCTGAGAGCTGGTATATGCCAGCAAACGAGAACAGCTTTCCTAACTGGAAACAAGTCAAGCTTGATCTTCCACTGGAGTGCTTTAACTGGACCTTGACCCTTGGAAACAAGTGGAAGACATTTTTCGAGACGATTCACATCTACTTAAGGAGCCGCATTAAGACTCAAGGGGCCAACGGGAACGAAAGCATTTATTACGAACCTCTGGAGCTGGTGGACCCTTCCAGGAACTTGGGCTACATGAAAATTAACAGCATCCAGGTGTTTGGCTACAGCATGCACTTTGACCCGGAAGCCATTCGAGATCTCATTCTCCAGCTGGATTATCCCTACACACAGGGGTCCCAGGACACCGCCCTCCTCCAGCTGCTGGAGATTCGTGATCGAGTGAATCAGCTCTCTCCACCAGGTAAACAACGCCTGGACCTCTTTGCATGCCTGCTTCGGCACAGGCTGAAACTGACGGCCAGCGAGGTGTCCAGGATCCACACTTCTCTGCAAGCGTTCAGTGCTCGATTACCTAACTCCTTGGATTACGAGACCACCAAACTGTGCAGTTAGCAGTTAGCGGTCTGAAATGCAGCGGAAGAAGATAACAGTCAACAGTAGATTATGAATATATCATTTTAAATGCATAATGGACTCTAATTGTGACCATCACAAACATCATATTAACATAAGGGCCCCAAGGTTTAACAAGACATTAGGCATGCATTACATCTACATACAGGTAAAATAAAGTAATTCAGACCAAAACACCTTTCCTTTTACTTTCCAAACATTTACTATTTTAAGAGTAAACATAATAGTTATTGAAAATACTATTAATATACACAGAATTACTTTCATCTGAAATCATTTATTACATGCATATGATGTAAATGAATTGTATGTATTACCTCTGGGTGCCCTTGTAAAATATGTAACTATACACTAATTATACATACTATTCTGTGTAAAAACTACAAATTTTTATGTACTGAGTGCGATCTGGGGGTGATTTTCAGATACAGTCTATTTGTTTGTAATTTTTATATGTTCTGTTGCTGTGATAGTGCATTTTGCCTACGGGACAGAATATAGTGATGTCAGTAAGTTTTGTAGATGAATTGTTATTAAAATATTCTATAATATGTACTGTGGAATTATTTGTCTAATTCATCATTTGATAAATTTCTGCTGACGTACAGACAGCAGTATGGAAATTTCATACAATTGAAAGCAACATGATGAAAACATTTCAGTGTAGAAATTGTGATATGCTAAATTATTTTTAATAATATGAATGAGGTTCTGAATTACCTGACATTTATTATAAATCCAATGCATAGCGACAAGTTTTTGCTTGAAATGTAATTCCAGCTAACATTCTATTCTGATCTGAGCTCTGGTCCCTGTTCTCCTGTGTCCCATCTCTATTTGCACAGCATTCTGGAAATATGCTGTTGATTTTAATGGCTTTTGAGTGTGAAATATATATCTTTATGTTGGTTTCTGCAGCACATTCCCGAAAGCCTAAAACGATACAGAATAACAAGATGTCGCAGAGTCCAAATAAAACTGAAATGTGGAATAAATTAAACGCAGGACATTTATTACATACGTTTCAAATAACAGGTGATATTTAATCTCTGACTACAGTAAAGAACGATATATTGCGCAAACAGACGTCTATCAAGCTAGGTCTGCTTTGTATGGCTCAGCTCTGAGTATGTAATTAACACCGGCTGATGCCAAAGTCAATTAAAATATCTAATTAAATACTATTCAGACAGCTACAAATTAAGTGAAACAGTCAGGTGATTAATGTCATTGGTTGTTTTATTAAGCCCCCTATTACACCCAGGAGTGCCTTATTAATTTAAGCTGACATTTAAGTTGAATGAAACCTTATATGCGACATATTACATATTGTAGGACAAATAATTGCATTGACAACATACTCATACTGATGAAGATGCCAGCAAATCAGCTGAGGGCATTTGAACAGATGGAATACGCAGTGGAAGCTGTTTGCGTTAATAGCGCTCTGAATGTTTGTCCATAGGTAGCGGGGCAGTAGGGGCATGGATACCCTCGAAGATTCAGGGCCCCCAGCACCTTACTGGGGCCCTTGAATATGTGAAATTGGCTGGGGGGCCTAAGCTAACATTCTGTTAGGCGACCCAGAATTTCTAGCTACGCCCCGTCGGCAAATACAAAATATATAGCTACGTAGTTCCATATTCATTTATGATATTGATTTGCTTTGGAAACAATGAGTATGTTCCTTTAAGAATTCCAGGAAATTGGAAACACACGGTAACGACCAGGATTTGAAAACTGTAGTATGAAAGTATGAAAAAAATACTGCTCTGTTCAAGTCTGGCTCTAACATGTCTCTTGATAATAAGGTAATTTTAAGGCAATTTCTGGCTAAACTGAAATATCAGTTAATATGCGTGGCATGTTAGTTCATTTCATTTAGCAAAATTAAATGTAGTCAAGTTCACTCAGGAAACATAGATGGTGACTCTCACAGTTGAAAAATAACAAAGGGATTCACTAAACAGGGCTACATTATTCTGAATCACTTAATTCTCAATGATGGTGATATTATTATTATTATTATTATTATTATTATTATTTATATAATATAATTTTTCTTATTATTGCCATCATCAACAAATGTGGTACTACCACTTGTTTATTGCTTAAATATTACTCAAGGGCAACAGAGTTAGAGTTTGTGAACCATAAAGTATGGTTAGGGATAGGGTATTTATTGATGTCCCCATAGAAATGTTTCAGAGAAATTGAAATGTGGTAGAAAAATGTTAAAAGAATTTTGCTTGATGTCACTCTTGCTGTAGAACCAGGAAGAGGCCAAAATGATTTTTTTTAATCTGCTAATTATCAGTCTGTTTGAATTAAAATATAGAGCAGACATTAACATAATTTTCTTACAAGTTAAAAGTTCCTTTTTTTAAAGGCAAAGAACAATTTCAATGAGCAGTGATAATTTTTAAACATGGCCAAGACAACCCACTATTGAGTTTAGCTCAGCTGCTCATAAACATTTGTTTAAGCATTTTGGATTTAAAAATAAGTTAAAATGAACAAAAAAAATGACATTCCATATTTCCGTATAAGGGTAATCCAGAAAGGCTGGTGCTGAATAAAAATAAACATGACATAGCTTACTAATGAAAGTATTAGTGGCTGTCAGATATCTTAAACAACACAAACAATACATTAACTTTATTTTAATATATGCATTGCTAGATAGAGGTTCTGTTCTTATTGTCACGGTTTCTTGTTTTAACACATTCTTACCCATCACATAATCAAGTCTTTGTTAATATGTAACTCTTACAATTTGGCATGACAACGTATGCATTTTTGAGGAATCTAACATCAACACAATAACATCAGGTGACAGGTGCAGGAATTTCATAAATCTTCATTATATGAATCCTTTCTCATTCCAGTACCTAAAACATTCTGGTCATTTGATGAGGTGGATGTAAATCTGTGCTACCAATATTCAAAATTATTTAAGGCTTGTTTATTATAAAAATGATGACTTACGCTAATATGGAACTATGTATGCCTGAATGTGTACTTGCACTTTCTTTAACAAATTTTTATTTGCTGGTGAAATAAAGGTGGCTACAATAGCCTTGGAGAAAGCTGGTATTCCTGAAATGATTCATGGAAGGATTTTGTTTTCTACTAATACTACTGCAACTCTTACTATTAAATGTGAATGTGATTTTGTAAAATGTATAGACTTGTAAAAATTCCTGCACATGCACAAAAGCAAAACAAGTACTATGTTGACAGCAATGTGATTTATGCATGAAGAAAATGAGCGATTTGTCAGAAATTAGAACATTTATTTGTAACAATAAAAAAAGCAATTAGGAATTGCAATATACAAACTGATAAAATGACATTAGTTTGACATCTAATTGTTTTCATTTCTAGCTGACATTCAGGAAAATGAAAATATTGTCATGATTAATTTGGTATGTATATTATTTTGTTAAAATAAGTATTCAATAATCTCATGGGTATAATTTTCTTACAGAAAGTAAAGGCTTTACTTTTATTTTCTGGTTATTCTTTTTTTCAATACCACACATTTATTGTTACATTGTTGACAAACAGTATATTATTAAGAAATTACAATGCAACTATAGTAAAATCAAACAAATCTGTGCTTGTGGATATATGAAGGTACATCTAAGAATTTCCATAGATTTATTTAGTAGGACAAATACCATGGAAATATGAATAACAGGGGTGTCTGTTGCATGCATGAATTCATAGGTCATACCTGGAGACACCCACATATCTCTCACTGACAGTAGGCAGAACTGCTTGGCTGAAAACTGGATGCTCTTCCAATTGGGTGAGTTAAAGGGGTATAGGGGACTGGACAACGAGGCTGATCCCACCGACCTGTAGCTGGTCAATCGAAAGACAGCCAGTGGGAGGATGAATGCTGGACAAATGCTGGTAGAAGTGGTGGGATATTGGAGATAAGACAGAGGGGGAGACAATTCGCAGGACGGCAAGCCAATTGTGAAGAACTCACCTAAGCACCTCAGTAAGTATCAGTTCTTGCACGCTTGTCTCTTTGCATTTCACCATGACGTGGAGGTCAGTTGGCGGCTTTCAAAGGAAGACCTATGCACCGTAACGACACAGCAATTAGTGAGCTCTCTTACATCTAGTGCTGACAACATCTGTGCCAAAGACAAGCAGAATCTAGTGGCAAGATTTACTAGTTATTGGGAAGAGGAACAAGAGGCTAAGTAATGAACAGAAACATGGAAATGTAGCTCCGGCAGAAAGAAGACTGGTCGGTATTAATGCTCTACATGCATTTTCACATACCTGTCATGGGAAGGAGGTATAACTGTAATAGGTAAAGGATAGCAGAGTTGTTTCAGGATGAAACTTTGTGTGGCTTTACATATAACCACTGTGTTTCATTTAGCGTTCACGCAGGGGATTACCGATGCCTGGAAGAGAGTTTTTTTTAACATATAAACTTATTCAATAAAAGTTCAGGCAGCTTTGAGTTAATCAAAGATAACATGCACCTTAAAGAGAGTCCTAATCCAATTTTATATATTTACATCCATCCACGTTCTGTAACCATGTGTCCTATTCAAGATGACAGGGGGTCTGGAACCTATGGGTGCAAGGCAGGGAACAACCCAGGATGGGGCACCAACCCATCACAGGGTGCATTCACACACCATTCATATCTGTGGGCAATTTGGTAACACCAAATCACATGTCTTTGGACTGTGGGGGGTGGATGGGGGGGAAGGGGTTACTAGAGTGCCCAAGGGAAACCCAACAATCACACAGCAAGAACATGCAAACTCCACACAAATGGAACCCTGGCAGAGACTTTACCTCTGGTCCCCGAGGAGTGAGGCGACAGTGCTGCCCATTGCATATATGCATATGTTCAGCTGTATTTACTTTTTTTAGCAGTTGCTTTTGCCAGATCACTCATCACAATATACAGCTGTCAAGTAATTAACTAGATAAAAGTGAGCCTCCAATGTAAACCCGGGCGTGGGAGGAGTTCGGTGAGGCCATGGAAAGTGACTTTCGGTCGGCCTCAAAAAGGTTCTGGCAAACCATCCGGAGTATCAGGAGGGGGAAGCAGCTCCTGGTTCCTACTATTTATAGTGGGGGGGGGGTGCTGTTGACCTCACCTGGGGACATCACCCGGAGGTGGAAGGAATACTTTGAGGACCTCCTCAACCCTGCCTCAGATACATCTACGCACACTGCCTTTGAGACGTCTGAGGGCACAGAGCCCGAGGGTGCTGGGGGGGGGGCTTGCACATCACTGGGGCTGAGGTAGCCAGGGTGGATAAAGAGCTCCGTGGTGGCCGGGCCCCGGGGGTGGACGAGATCTGCCCGGAGTACCTGAAGGCTCTGGATGTTGTGGGGCTGTCATAGCTGACACACCTTCTCAACAGTGCGTGGAGGTCAGGGACAGTGCCGCTGGATTGGCAGACCGGGGTGGTGGTCCCCTTATTTAAGAAGGGGGACCGGAGGGTGTGTTCCAACTACAGGGGGATCACACTTCTCAGCCTCCCTGGGAAAGTCTATTCCGGGGTACTAGAGAGGAGCGTGAGATCGATAGTCGAATCTCGGATTCAGGAGGAACAATGCGGTTTTCGTCCTGCCCGTGGAACACTGGACCAGCTTTATACCCTTGCAAGGGTACTGGAGGGGGCCTGGGAGTTGGCCTATCCAGTCTACATGTGTTTTGTGGATTTGGGAAAGGCTTACGGCTGGGTTCCCCGAGGTGCTCTGTGGGGGGTGCTTCGGGAGTATGGGGTCCAGGGTCCGCTGTTGTGGGCGATTCGGTCCCTGTATGAACGGAGCAGAAGCTTGGTCCGCATTGCCGGTAATAAGTCGGACGTGTTCCCAGTGCGGGTTGGGCTCCGTCAGGGCTGCCCTTTGTCATCGGTCCTGTTTATAATGGACAGGATTTCTAGGCGCAGCCAGGGTGTTGAGGGTGTCCAGTTTGGTGACCTCAGGATTGCCTCGCTGCTTTTTGCAGACGATGTCGTCCTGTTGGCTTCATCTGCTGGGGATCTCCAGCATGCACTGGGGCGGTTTGCAGCTGAGTGCGAAGCGGCAGGGATGAGGATTAGCACCTCCAAGTCCGAGACCATGGTTCTCAGCCGGAAACGGGTGGTGTGCCCTCTTCGGGTCGGGGAAGACGTACTGCTTCAAGTGGAGGAGTTTAAGTATCTCGGGGTCTTGTTCACGAGTGAGGGTAGGAGAGATCGGGAGCTGGATAGACGAATCGGAGCAGCGTCTAGAGGCAAAAAGCAAAGCTCTCGATCTATTGGTCCATCTTCGTCCCTACCCTCACCTATGGTCATGAGCTATGGGTAATGACCGAAAGAATGAGATCGCGAATACAGGCGGCCGAAATGAGGTTTCTCCGAAGGGTGTCTGGGCTCTCCCTTAGGGATAGGGTGAGAAGTTCGGATATCCGGGAGGGCCTCAAAGTAGAACCGCTGCTTCTCCACGTCGAAAGGAGCCAGTTGAGGTGGTTTGGACATCTGGTGCGGATGCCTCCTGGGCGGCTACCCGGAGAGGGTTTCCGTGCATGTCCTACAGGGAGGAGGCCCCGGGGCAGACCCAGGACTCGCTGGAGGGATCATATCTCTCAGCTAGCCTGGGAACACCTTGGTGTCCTCCCCGAGGAGCTGGTAGAGGTAGCTGGGGAGAGGGAGGTCTGGGTATCTCTCCTGAAGCTGCTACCCCCGCGACCCGAACCCCGGATAAGCGGCAGATAATGGATGGATGGATGGGATATGTAAGGGTAGCTGAGGGATCACAGATGATGATAGATTAGGTCAGTGGTTGAAGGACTTGATGAGCTGTTCCCAGAAGTGATGAGTCTTGAGGCATTTCTTTGTGGTGTAGAGGGATTCCGATGACCGGATGTGAATGGGAAGCTCATTTTACCATTGAGAAACTACACAAAAGATACAGCTAGAGTGTGACTTCTCACATGGTGGATTGATCTCCCGCCAGGGCTGGCTTTTCAACTGAAGAGGGCAGGATTGAATGTGCGTCTTGACTTAACATCTTTGAAAGCCAGCACCAAGGACTTGAATTTGATGTGAGCATCTACAGGGAGAAAGACAAGGAAGGGTGTAACATGGGAGTATTTTGCCCAATTGAATATGAGATGTACTGCTGCATTTTTATGTAATGGTTTGACAGCGCAAGCTGGTAGTTCTGTCAGGAAAAAGTTGCAGTAGCCTAACCATGAGATGACAAGTCCTTGGACTAGAAGCTGAGCTGCATAGTCTGACAGATAAGGCATGATATTCCTAATGTTGTACAGAGAAAATCTGCAAAATCAGGAGATAGATACTATGTGATCGGCAAAGGATAGCTGGTCATCTTTCATCACCCCTAGGTTCCTGGCAGACTTTGTTTGGGACAACATTGATCATGTAAGCTGTACATCAATATCACAGTGAATGGTAGAGCTGGCAGGAAAGATAAGAATCTCATTCTTAAGGGAGGTTCAGCTGAAGGTACTGTAATAATCCTTCTTCCAGTCTATGTTGGCAAGGCATGTGGAGTTCCAAGCAGAGACTGAGGTGTCCAAGGGATGGAAGGTGAGATACTGCCGTATGTTATCACTGTAGAATTGGTAGAAGAAACCGCGAGATTGGATAATTAGGTGGTGTACAGAGAGAAGAGGAGGGGACCGTGGACAGAGCCTTGGGGGATATCAGTTGTTACCTGATGAGCTCCTCACCCTCACACACTTGGTATGGTCTACTTAATACATGAGAGTCAGACATTCTCAGACCAGTACTCTATAGATACCGAATTCATCGAGGCTGGATAGGAGGATCCGGTGATTTACGATTTTAAAATGTTTTAAGTTACAAAACAAATAACAATCAATAATGTCAGACTAGCCAATATAATTCTGTAATACAGGCAGTGCACGACAAAGCAGTAATGTTGTTGAGTCCATGCTATGTCAAGACTGAGTGGAGACGGCAGATCTAGCAATATCTATATATAAGTAGGCAACAATGGCCGTATGTAGTACTCAGTTCTGCAATAGCTGAAGGGCTGGCAAAGAAAATATTCTAAAGAAGTGAACAGTTAAATATCCATATTCATGACACCCTTGACCAAATGCTGTACCATCCCAGGGCGCACATTCACATACGAGGGTCTATCTAGAGACACCAGCTAACCTTATCACTAGTTTGTGGATGACGGGCGAAAACTGGAGTACATGAAGGAAACCCACAAGAACATGAAGAACATGCTGCACACAAATGAGGAAAGGATCAAATCCAGCACAGTAGAGGTATAATGGCATGGAGCTGCCCACTGTGCCACCCACGCACGATAAGTTAGGGTTAAATAGATGTTAAAGGAAACAAATGTTAAATTCAGGTGTTAGATGTTATGCTACTTAAAAGAGTATCTAGAGGGTGTCTTTTGACTGTTGTTGTCTTGTCCCTTTTATCAAGAGTGTGACTGTTAATGATTGTATATTTGTGTACAGTGACTTCTATGAATGAACATCACATCTTTCATAATATAAAAATGCATAAAAGACATGAAAGGATGCAGTGATGAAAAACGATAGTCAAAGGTAACATTTATCCAGGGACTTTATGTTGCATTACTTAAAATTTTGACTGCAAATTTAACCAGTGAGCTGGCATCATAATTTAACGTTTATTCATGCTAGGAAATGTTGGACCTGTTGCACATGGAATGGAACAAAGATGTCATTTTGCCTTGCTAATTAGCAGAATTTTATTTTTCACCTGAAATAAATTTTTGCTGTGAGCATCATTTAACTGACTTAAAGAGGAAGTATAATAAATTTATAAACGTACTATTTATTATTCCTTTGTTAGTAAGGGACTCTGCATTTTTTATTGTTTTATTGATACATGTTGACGTTATATAATGTAAAATAACAATTAATATATTTTAAACACAATAAACTTTTTTAAGAAAGCCGTATGCACCAGAACCCAGCCTTGAAAGCAAACCATAGTATGACCTCATTAAAGCAACTATGTTCAGGTGTGAACAATTAAAGAAACATTCGTGGGCGAATGCTGAGGGGGGGTTATAAGAAGCACAGAGGTACTGTAGCAGCTCTGCTTTCTGGGACTTGGAGAAATTTGTGGAAGTTTCCACTCACAGCCCAAAGGGGTTTCTGGGGTTTTTTTTGGGGGGGTTCTCTCTTACTTATTGATTTTATTTTAAGTGGTGTGAGATTTTAAAGATTGACTGCTTCAGGATTTCTAGTGATGTTCGCTGCTATTTTATTGTTATTTACTACGAATGAGGCATAAGGAATATGAAAAAATATGAATCTGAAAAAAGCATGTAATTATTTGGCCTAAATATTGCGCTACTTTCACAAGTTTCTGGGAGAAACTGTATTGCCCAGCGGATACAAACGGATTTACTTGTTATCACATACCAGTGAGAAACCTCTTATCACCCTTTACCAGTTATAAAAGATTTGCTTGGCAATCTTCTTGTTGGGAATTCAGATCTGTGGGATGATCGGGAGTCTTAATTTTTATTATTCTGCGGCACTGTGGCCTCTACCTAGCTGGCTCCCGCTTTGATTCTTGCCGCTGGCTCAGTGTATCTTTGTAGTCTGCATATTTGCCCTGTGTTGCTAAGGATTTCCTGTGGGTTTCTTCTCGGCCCAGAAGCGTATCGTTAGGGCGTCCCCCGCCTTCTGCTGTATGCTTTCTGAGATATGCTCCAGGTTGGCTGCCATCGTGTACTACAGGAGAATAATTAAATTGCTGTTTCTCAGGCAAGCTAGGAATGTACGGTATATTTCCCAGACATTATAGGTGTTCTACAACAAAAACACAACAGCTTCATCAGTGAGCAAAAATTTCTCTGGTGGCTACAGTTTTAAGTGAAACTGACTCGTCCATATTCTGGTTCTGGAGGAAGCTGCTCCCGCTTGAAATAAGCCGATATCTGCATATTCGAACCTGGTGTCTAGTACAGGGTTTCAATTAGTGAATCTATGCTCACCTATAAAA